TTTTCCCCCCCCCCCCCCCCTCCCTCGCCCTCGTGCAAAACACCTAAAGATTTCTTCCTATTTATCTCTTAATAGCATGTGGTTGCAGGGCGCCCCCGGTAGGCCCTACTTTTTTTCTTTCCCTCTGTTGCTTCTGTCTATCAGTCTTACGTCTGTGGGTGGTTGGCGGGTGCTCTTGTGTGGTTTGCTCCTTGTTTCCTATCAAACATCTATCGTCCTTATCTCCCCTTCTTCTTTTTTATGTTTGTTACTCTCTTTAACACCTCTAATCTTCTGACGCTCATGACCTTACGCAGTTGCGAGCGCCGTAAAACCTCTACTTAAAGAAAAGTATTGCGTCTTCCCTGCAGTATGTGATCGTTAATTATGGTGTCGATCTGCTTATCTTTACTCAAATTCAAAATTCAAACTCATCTGTTCAAGTCGTGAAATCATTAATACATGGTCATCATTATCATCATCATCATCATCATCATCATCATCATCATCATCATCATCATCATCATCATCATCATCATCATCTTAATACATGGTACTGTTATCATATTATTATGAAGAAACTCGCTAATTTTGTTTTAATGTGTTTGGTGTTTTTTTCAGACCGGCCGACCCCTATGGCCAACACCAGAATTACGTGGCCTTGGATGGAGGTGAGTTTTACGACTTTTGGATGAAAAGATAAAGATGTGTACCCAAATATCAATGAAGCAAGAAATCTCTCATCTCCCCCACCCCCAACCCTTCTCATCAACTCTCTGCCCCTTCCCTCAGTCTTTTTCTTTCTTTCTTTCTTTCTCTCTCTTTCTTTCTTTCTAAAAAACAAACAAACTATTCTAAGATATCGACTCCTGTCGTACCCTTTTCTCCCCCACCCCCTCCTCCCATCACCTCTCTTTACCTCCCTCTGTCTTTTTCTTTCTTTTTTTTCTCTCCTTTTCTTTCTTTCTCTCTCCAACTTTCTCAAAATATGCCTTTCTGTCTAACTCTATTCTAAGATATCTACTCCTGTTTTATTAGTCTGTTATACCCAACTTAAACGCATTGTCAGTATCAGCTTAGCACCTGTATAAAGAAATTGGCACAAGTTCTTACAGCCACGTTATATAACTGGCGCTCATATGACCTTATGCAGTTGCGAGCGCCGTAAAACCTCTACTAAAATATATTTTTAAAAGCCTCGCACTCCCTCTCTCATAACCCCCTGAAACCACCCTGGCATCTATGGTGTAGCTGTTTGGCTCTTTGCCGTCGCACGCAGAAGACCTGAGTTCGATTCCCGTGTGGGGAGAATATATATATA